GTACAGTAAACTCCGCTTATAACGAACTCATTGGGACATTCAAAATCTGTTCCATATATCCGGAGTTCCTTGTAAGCATATAGCGAATTGAGTTCCTTGTATCAGGAGCTTTTATAGCGAACAGATTTACATATAACGAACTGATTGTTTACCATCGTCCACCATTTTGAAGAGCATCTGATTAAGAAAAAAATAGTCATTAATAACTTTTTAGTCACAATACCGGAGTGCGTACTTTTTCGAATTTGAAGATCTTTTGCTATTTCAATTTTAGTTTTACTCCCTTTCTCAATTTCTCATAAAATATCATTTATTTTGTTTCTAAACTCAGTGCTTCTCGTTTTCTTTCCATGATTAAGAATAAACAAGGCTTTAGATTTTTCCATCCTTTTATATCGAGTATCTTCTATCTATTATATTTTAAGGGTGACTTTTACTTAAAGATATTTTTTTTCTTTTCATTTCAATCAAGCGTACTTTGTAGTGTTCAATGGATTATGCTTGCAAGCATGCGTGATTATGTTGAAAACCGAAAAATGATCAAAATGATCATAATATATAATTTTACTCGGGCAAAACTATAAAAGAAAATAAATAATGGAATAAAAGGAATAACCGTTTTATCTTGGTGACAAGAACTCATGCTAAAATATCCTAAATAGAAGCTATACAAATTCATTTACATAAATGTATTTAAGTACATACAACAATAAACGGTACATTCGGCGTGCCAATGGAAATGCGGGACCTATTTACGGATAGCTGATATTTTGGAGTTCGTTATAAAGGTGTAATTTTCTGTACTTTTAACTAAATTGGGCCTAAAATATGAGTTCCTTATAAGCGATAATTCCTTATAACCGTGTTTGCTATAACCGTATATTTTTATATTAAATAAAGAAGGGCAAAATTCGGGCCAAATTGAATTGTTCCTTATAACCGGAAGTTCGCTATAACCGTGTTCGCTATAAGTGAAGTTTACTGTAATTCTTTTCATGTTTTCCTTACTTGTTTTTTAAAAAACAAATTATACCAGGTGTCACCATGAGCAATGTTTATAAAAAAAAAGAATCACCCGCATTAAATAAACTGTTCTTGACAAGTCAGTATTTGTATAATTGCAATCTAGGTGTATATCTGGCAGTCTTGCAGGTGTTTCTGCATGCCCAAAATGTCTGGAATTGTAATAAAATTAATGTTCTTATACATTGAAACTAGAACATGTTCTTATAGACATTGAATCCATGGCATGTTATAAAACATTGAAGCTGGTAAATGTTCTTAGATATAGACTAATAAGTAGCTTATACAAGGTATTGGATATTGTAATCTCAACAATTACATTGTATGTTCTTTGACATTGAAACCAGAACATTATTATGTTCTTTGACATTGAAACCAGAACAATATATGTTCTTTGACATTGAAACCAGAACAATTATGTTCTTTGACATTGAAACCAGAACAATTAATAATATGTTCTTTGACATTGAAACCAGAACAATTAATAATATGTTCATTGACATTGTAACCTTAACAATCATGTTGTAAGACATTGAAACCTGACTGAGTACATGTTCATAGACATTGAAAAAAGTACATCATTCTTAGTCTTTGATATCAGAACATGTTCTTACACACTGAAACTATAAATGTTCTTACATTTTGAAACCTAATAAGTCATTGAAACCAATATAATGCTATTAGGCATTGAAATAAGAGAATGTTCTTATACACAATGAAATCGGGATAATGTTCTTAGTCATTTATACCAGTACATATAGTTAGACAATGTAACCAGTAGTTATTCTAAACACACAATTTTAAACTAGTATAATGCTCTCAAATACTGGAACCAGAAACTGCTCTTATAAATGAAATTAATAATTAAATAGCCTAAAAGCAGCTGAGTCATGTATTTCTCCAAAAAGGCATTACTGCCTTATTTTGAATGAAGGAACACAAGATTTATGATAAATCTATTGTCCATACCGGAAATTATCTTTCCTGAATTGTGCATTTAGACAAGTTCTGTCTAATATTTTAAGATTTTCCTTTATGGATTATATTTCACTAGCTCATAAGTATTTTTAAATTAATAACTACAAATAATTTTCTAAACATATATAAATTTGTAGATATAAAGTTTAAAAAATACCCATAAACAGGTGAAAGATCATGATATCAGAAAAAAAATGTAGTGGACCACCATGACCTAGTGGTTAAGGTTGATGACATCATATCCCTTAACTTGACGCTCACTGCTTTGGGTTTGAATCCCATCAGGGACTCTTAGAGTCTTTCATGTGAGGAAGCAATCAAGGAAGCTTTAATAATGCACGGCCAGCCAGTGGTTCTATACAGGTGCTTACACAAACCTGAAATAATGCTAATGGGGGGGAGGAGTCCTCCACCATTAAAGCTGGAACATCACTTCATATTAAACCTTCCTGTGCTAGTGTGACAAAACATATATTCTTCTCTTGTGAAATTTTTCAGTCAATATTATAAAAAAATTTCACCCCATCTATGAACAGGCAGCTTTAATTATTTCAGCACTCAGCAATTATTCTTGGCAGTGATGTAGACAAAGATCTCATTTATAGAAAGATCAAACTTTAATCAATTTCCTCTAATCTATGCCAACAGTACTTGTTAATTTTAAACAAAGAAAATACCAGAGAGGGAAAGTGTTTTTTTCCTCAATGTATGTAGCTGGTTATGCATGGAAATATATGTGTTTTAATAAGTTTCCTAGCTGAAACAATCTTGTGACACCCAGGTATTTTCTGGTAGCACTGGCCTTAGGCCACAGAAAATTAATTTTTAAACTTTCATCCCCGCCCGCCCGTATCAAAATCTTTCCGCCCCAAAATAATTAATTTTCATAAAAAAAAAATTGTTCATTTCCTGGGTTCCCTCTGGGTCAAATTTAGTTTCATCTTCACATGTTCCCAAAGTGTCAAACAATTGATGACATAATTGATTATACGGTACCCGATTATACAGTTTGATAAACAACTAATAGTGCGTGACCATTCACATTTGGGCCCCTTATGTAATTGACACGGCCGCTTATGACATTTAAGTGTACTAGTTGTCGGATGCTTTTATCTTACGTTGGCGCCAGTTAAATTCGCAAATTAAAGATTTTATGCGCCAAAATTAATATTTTGTCGCATTTGAAGCCATTGGCGATCGACAGCGGGAACCCTGCATTTCGCAGACGTCTGTGGACGAAAAATTCGTCCGAAAATCGTGGTTGAATATTTGCGGGACGCACACATAAAAATCAGACTGAGGTTTACAGCGTCTAGTGATCAAGATTTTAAATACGTTCGTTTTCAATCATAAAATTGTCAAAATGTTCGTCATATGTGAAATATATGATGCAGTAAACAAGAAAACTGTTTGTGATTGGTTTGGGTTTAGTTTTTATCAAAATCTGGGTGGAAATGATGCGACGTTCATCAATATATTCATACATTTCTGTTTTTTTTTCAGGTCTTAAAAGTGATGGATAAAATAAATTATAAATTATAAATTCCACCCACCCGCCCCAATTATTTCTTGAACCTGGATGAGAGTCTAAAGATTAATTTTCTATGGCCTTATTATGAATGACTTGAATTTTCAGGATGTTCTTCTGAAAGTTTATATGAATTATGACCACTAAAATACTTGATTTTCATTTGTAAATAGCTATTAAATACTGACTGATTTCCTAATGATATAATGTACAGTGGTCCTGTTTTCAATTGGCTGATACAAATGTAATTCCATTCTATTGTGGGAAGATGGAAGGATAATCCATGTATTTTCTCATGTTTAAATGGGGGCTTTTATTACAACACAGTTTTTCCTAAATCCAAAAATCAATGTAAATACATTTAGTGTTAGCAAGTGTTGGTAATAACATTAAAAAGTGTTAAGATTTTAAAGTTCATACTATAAAATAAAATGGATTCTAAATGATTTGAATAAAATTATGGATTTACTCATGAGTTCATACTGATGAGTAGATTGTGTTTCTTAACAAAAGGCCTGGGGGCCTTTATTAGGGGAGGGGCATTTATTAGGAATTTTTCTTAATTCCGGAGTTAGTCAATTGAATATTCAGCAAATTATTTCCACTATTAAACTTTATAGATACAATCAACAATGTGTGACTTGTGGACATAGTAACAATTAGTCAAATTTCTTTAAAAAAAAAACGATTGCTGGGAAACTCAGAACAGTCTTTTTTTTTTTTTTTTGGCTTAACCCTTTCCCTCATGAGCATTTTGTGAAAAATGGCCATTTTCATTGAAAAGCCTCTTGTTACAAGTTCAAATTGCTATGAAACTATGAAAAATGTTGACTGGACCATTGCCTTTGTAACAACATGCTCAGTCTTAAATTTCCTTTTACCATGGCAACGAGGGGACATCTCACAATTGCCAAAGATCACTATTTTGCCTTGATTTTTTCCATCAAAATGTATTTCAAAGTGCTGCAACTTCTCAAGGCATTGAGATAAAGTCAAAGGCTTTTCAGCGTTGGTTACACGTTACCTTATGATTGACCTGGGGTCATTGTTAGCCTCTCACAATTCCAAAATTTTCTTGGCAATGAGGGGGACTGCAGCCCCCCTTCAAACCCCCCAAACAGAAGGGGGCACATCCCCCTTCTGGCAACCCCCTAATGCTCACTTTTTTTAGCAACATTTCTCAAACGAAAAAATGTGTTTGGGGCCCAAATGGGACATTTTTTCACTATATGAGGCCTAAAAGAGGGGGGGGGGGTCGAAAGTGCGTTGTTTCGCGTATATATGAGGTAAAGGGTTAGGACTGTGTTGTTTTCAGTCTTATGTTTTAGAAATATAGTTCTGCCGCACAGATTAACTAGAAACTTGGGTAACTTTAGCCTTCATCCCCTGAAACTAGTGTCATAGAATTAAAGATTTCTTTTGGAGCAAATATTTCATGATAATCATTTTGATAAAAAGACAATTGTTTAACTACAGGTATATAAATTATTTATTTACAAAATTTGTTTATCATTTCAAAGCAATACATAATATTTATCATTTGTTCATGATATAAAGACAAGTTAAAAACAAATAAAAAAACTCTTTTAAACTTAAAATAATTGTGTTATCTTAACTAAAATAAATAATAATATATACTTTTCTGTTAAAAGTTGTTCATTATTTTGAAAAATATGTATGAAATAACAAGTCTTATTACAGCAAATCAATCAACAACCATTTTGTGCAACATATAAAAAATAAATGATATAGTAAAACCTATGTTAAAGACCACCTCCAAATAAAGATCATACTGTAATTAAAGGCCACTCTCTGACCACAATTCATTAATAACATAGAACATTGTAACCTCCAACCTCCAAATAAAGACCAGCTGTCTAGAAAGGTTGTACCATATTTAGTCTCTTTTTTGGGTGGCCTTTAATCACAGGTTTGACTATATTTGTATTTCAATATGGCTGAGAAATGAGTCAAGCTATAAGACAATGTTTCTACAGAATACATTTATATAAACAGTCATATGATGTTAAAGTAAGATATCTTTATATATTTAACTCCATCAAGAATGACGTTTCTGAATGCACCATTTGTTAATGTGACTACTCTTCCCACTACGTCATGTGTATGTACATTTTACTACTATGTACAGAAAAATAATCTCATTTTTGGTAAAATAAACAATGTACCCTTACATGTAGAATAAATTATAAGATATACATAATTATATAAGTGACAAGGCATTTAGATATAAATGAACCTAACAAATGGCCTGCAGAAGTACATAATAATTTACAGGAAAAAAATCCCCTGGGCAATGAAGCAGTATAATATATTATATAAAAATCTGCAATATTTATTACAGGAAATCTGCTGCTATAACAGTTACTGAATTCTTTATAGTTTCATATTCCCCCACCCCCCACCCCAAAAAAAAAATGTTTTCTTCATTATTTCAGTTTTTCCAATTATTTTTTCAAAAAGTAGTTCAAAATGTTAAGACATTAAATCTTCCTTTAAGTGATATACTGACCGTGTCATGTGTAATAAATCACTTATTGCATTAAAGTGTCCAGTGTGATAACACCAGTCCTAACTTTACAATTTATAGCCCTAATAGCCCTAGTTCTGACACTTTTGTCATTTTAACAGGCTCATAACTAAGAAACCTTATTAATTACTTCAAAGTAACAATTTATAATGCTAAAACAACTGCAATTTATATTATATACATTATATAAAAAGAGTTCAAAATGATTTATTCACTTTTTCCAATTTTAATTATATTCTTTGAAAAATATCCTTTCCCTTCCAAAAAACAAAGGTAACTTATATTTCCAAAAAATATCTGTAGAACCGATAAAGAAGTCCAGAAAAGTAACAAAATTAGTAAATAAGTTAAAAATAGCACACACAAAAAATCCAGCACAGATCTTTAAACATAAAACATTTTTCCCTATCATTAATGAAATAATCCATTTCAGTTCAATATGAAAGACACATTAAATTTTTAATAGTTGATGAACTTTCTGAACGTAAGCATTGTTCAATTTGTCCTCCGAATCAGTCCTAAAGATGTTTTTTTATAATTGTTTTTAAATTAGTTGTGTTTTATAGGAATAAGCTTTTCTCTTGGCCCTTCCAGAGCTGGAAGAGGTGCCTCAATGGTAAGTACTCCACCAGTGCTTAGCTTAGATGTTAAGCGTTCTGGATGGATGTCTTTCGGCAAGACGTATGACCTGTTGTACTCCCGGAAGACCGATTTGTTTGGATCTTTCTCATCATGCTTTGCGCTCACAGTAAGAGAGTTCCCTGAAGTGCGTACCTGAATTTCTTCAGGTTTAAACTGACGCATATCGAACTGTAAATGGAATTTTCTGGAACCGTCCCCAAACTGTTGAATAGGATTTTCCATGCGGAAGTTTTCTGTCAGACGCCAATCATCTACATTTTGTACCGGGGCCGGGGCGGACCGCTGCATATTTTCCATCATTTTACCCATCTCGTCATTCATTCTCCTCATTTCCCGCTCAAAATCTACCTGCTGCCTTTCTCGGGACGGATAATGAACAAGACTTGACGAGAATTCCGGTGCTGGTGGTGGGGGTAGAGTGGTTGGGAATGGTGGTGTATGGGAGAATGAATGGGAGAATGGAGTCATCTCCCACCGAGGTGACGATCGCCAAAAGTCAGTTTCATACCTCGTTGGAATGAGTCTTGAGGATGTATCCCAGGAATGATGCATTTTAAACAGTTCAATTTCAAATTTAAGCAAAAACTAAAATCCTCCAAATTCACTTTTTCCACAATAAATCCTTAAAATCTTTTCAAATCCTCAGCTTATGAATTGTTTAAATAAAGTTTTATTTAATATTATAGTACATCAGCAAATTACACACTAAAACTCTCCAATATATTTCTCAAGTTTCGAATGAAAAAAAAGTTCTTTTCACCAGTCCACGTAAAAATGTAACTCGTTACTGCAGTTTAACTTTAATCCAGCGGTCACTTTTATGTCTAGTTTTACAGAAGGTTACCACCCAGTGAGCTCAACAATTGTCCACCCCTCCTAATTACCGTAATTCAACAATGACAGTCACAACAAAAACGCTTTTCTCTTTACAAACCCAGTCCAAGACGATTTACTATCTACTACCAGTGTATACCTATACTGCTGCCTCTAGCAAGTACCTACAGCTACCTATCTAAACTACCTGTAATTAAGGCCAAGTTTATATACACGGGATTTTCGACAGGCTCATTATTTTAAAAACAAGGCAGACTCCTTATCTATTTTTTTTAGGATGAGTCATACAGTATGAATGAGCAGGAGAGAGAAAAACAACAGTCAGAATGTTCAAGAAATACTAGTAAAATATTTTCCTGTAGTAAATAAATACCATAAAATTGTCTAAATGCCAGAAATTAATAGTTGAAAAACACACAGATGTTGGTCATGAGAAAAAAATGTACAACTACTTTAAACTTTTGGTAAGTAGTTGAGAATCAAAACATGAGATCCAATTTTTTTTAATTAAAAATTTTATCATTTCTTAAAAACTATACATTAAACCAATAAGAAGAAACAGTATATTTAAGATGTTCTCACACTTATGCTTAAACCAGAGCTTTCAATGTTTAGCAGTCAATCACAAAAACATCTTAGTGGTTTATTTCAGACCAGAACCTAACACATAAACTGGGGAGGCAGACCAAAAACTTACAGACATAAAGGGGAAGCAGACCAGAACCTAACATACATAATCTGGGGAAGCAAACCAGATCCTTTCAGACAGAAACAGGGGAAGCAAACCAGAACCTTACATACATAAACAGGGGAAGCAGACCAGAACCTTACAGACATAAACTGGGGAAGCAGACCAGAACCCTGCGGACATAAACTGGGGAAGCAGACCAGAACATTTCAGACAAAAACAGGGGAAGCAGACCAGAACCTAACATACATAAACAGGGGAAGCAGACCAGAACCTTACAGACATAAACTGGGGAAGCAGAACAGAACCCTGCAGACATAAACTGAGGAAGCAGACCAGAACCTAACAGACATAAACAGGGGAAGCAGACCAGAACTAGCAGATCTTTTCTTAAAATGCTACACAAAATATAGTGGAAATTAAACAAAAATAGACAAACACTTGCAGAGGAAAAGTGAATAGGAAAATGGATAACTTCACAAGCAGAAGGAAGCAAGTACATGTAATAATAAAGTAGACATAAAACATATCTTTATTTTCATCTGCCTCACACTTTCATGCTGTTGAAGTAATAGGTAAAGCTATTTTAAGAACAATGTTAAAGAGATCATTACATCAGGAAATGTTTCAAATTCTTTCTCATTCTACAAAACAATCCTATTTCCTTTCATTCAAACTATGACTTAACCTCAGACAGCTTCCAAAAATAAATCTAAAGCATCATAAGCTGCAAACTTATTTTATACTCTTCAAAAATTTCAAGCAGGTGAGATCAGCAGAAAATCCGTAACTTGCATTTAAACTTAGCGCCAGATTTATCTCAAAATTTGATATTGAAGGAATTTTTAATGGATACATATTTATATAAGAGATTTTACTATGGAAAATAGGTTATCCTATGAATCTGTGAGCTTGGCCATGATACGTTAAGTCTATATTAAAATAGACCAAAATTACCACTAGCCCAACATAGATTTTCTCTTGGGCTTGTAAAAATTCCAAATACACAAGTGAATAGTAAAAAATATGCAGTCAACTTCAAATTTTTAAAAATTCCCTTAATATACCAATATTTGGGCTGAACAGCCTTTTTTAGTGTACATAATTAATTAAATAATAACAATAAACAGAAAAATTATGCCAGCTTTACTGGTGGAAGAAGACCTCAGGTGCCCTTCCATGCATTATTTCAGGCACGACCATGGACTTGAGTCAAACTACTGACATTCCGTATGCTAGCTGGATAGCTTCCTCACATAAAAGAATCCAAAGTCCCTATTAGGATTTGAACCCACACTGGTGAGGAGTAAGTGGTTTGAAGTCAATGACCTTAACCACTCAGCCACAGATTAGCTCACACAGAAGTGTTACAGACTAAGTCAATACATTGTATATGTATGATAAGATGTGAAATTCTTTTGTATGAAGGTAATGATGCATTAGGCTTTATTCACAGTCAAATATTGATTATTATATTAAAACTCATCATAAAAGAATAACTGTGTGAATGACTGCATGTGAATCCTTAAAGATATACTATGCTCAAATTTGATATCAGTCTTATCAGAAAATATTGATAATTGCTACACAGTCTCTTTGTAAATATGAAATAAACATGTTTTGACTTCACACAAAGTTAATATGTCATGTTTAAAACATACATAGGTCGTCACAATATGCATATACAGTGCCATGTTAAAAAAACTGGCAGTTTTTTTAAGAAAAGACCAACTTTACATGTCCTGTATTAAAGAACGTGACTTCCAATATAGTTTATTATTCATTTTTTATTCAAATTAAACATAAGTAAGAATTTCATAGGTTTAAATACATTTCTTCGATTTAAACATTTTACTCAAAGATGAGCATAGTATATCTTTAAACATTGACACACAATGTATAATTTATGAAGTGAATATTTATAGGTAAATAATTATTGAGGGTTGAAGTTGCCAGATATTAAACAGATAGTTAGGATCAAGGCAAATGATGCATTGGTCCCAAATCTAATGCTTATCATGAAATAAATGATGGCTAGAGAACCTTGGACAAATTACCTTCCCAAGTAATATTCCCTTTTCTCCTATTTTTTTTTTTAAATCCCGTTAAGAAAATCTTTTTATTTTACATGCTTTAATCAGATGACCCTTAAAAACTTCATATTATTTTGGTGTTGTTTGTTTTTTTTGTTTTGTTTTTTTGCAAAATAAAATATATGTAGATACATGTACATAACATTATGTGTATTAACGCTGATATACAAAGTTCTTAATTTTCTTTAAAACAAGGCAAAATTCCCCTACCAGAAGGTCCTGGCATGAGTCCGATATACAAATGTAAGGTAAATTAGAGCCCTGAGAGTAGCAATCAGTTCCTGTACAGTCTAAAAGTTGAATCCACTGACTTGAAGGTAATACAAGGGGTGACCACAAAACTGTTGTAAATCCTTGTTTATTTAATATAAGATACAACAGTTTTGCAGTCAATCCTCAATATGGCTTCTTACCTTGTTCTGAAGTTTTGGGCTGACAAATTTATTAGCATCCCCTTCTGCCATGACCGTCATCAAATCAACATTTGAATTTGCATAAAAATATTCTTCTCAGATTTTATCAAATGAACTACCACCCTGAAAAGAACAAAATAATATGGTTTCTAAATCTTGAAGAAAAAAAAGGTTTCTGAATGCAAAATGAACATAAAAATCAACAATACCAAAAATGTTCAAAGTCTATGCTAAAACTAAAAGTCTTTAGTCTTTTTTTGTTACATATTGTACAATAGTCATTAGTGCACCTGTATCAATATAAAAAATAAACAGTAAATTTCTTTCTTGGTTACATTATCTGAAGATGTAATTGACAAGTTCAGGTTTTTTTTTCAGAACTATTAATTTTTTATGTTTAGTAAACTTCCTTTAAAATATGGTTATTTTTATCTATTTATGATACTAAGCTTCTTCAACAAATAAGAATTCTGACACTATAAATTTATTCCAGATTTATTTGATGATGGGCTAAACAAGTCTTACATTCCCTGTAGATTATACCAACAGGATACAAGTTAAAATATAAAGACAAGCTAATCACCAGGCATAATACATTGAATTTATAGGCTTGCAAAAAATGGTACAGTGATTTCATTTAATACATTTATCCACTTGTCACAGTTGAGAACTGTTTACTATTTAAAGGAGAAAATGTGTAAGTGGCAGGATAACTTACAGCAGGTAGAGCCGTGGAACAGTATTCAAAGAGTCACGAGTTCGAGTCTCGGTCAGGCTACACATTTTCTCGCACTGTGACATTTGTCAACAAATGGGGGACCCTGACAGCATATTATAAGCTTAGAGTTAAAGTCACACTGCTCTGTAACCCTGAGAAAATCAAGGATAAATTTCAATATTACAAGAAGCATGTTATGGTTTAGGACTCAGTTCACTTTCAATAGGGGAGAAACTTTGTAAGCAATCAAAATTAGCTCAGTTAGTAGAGCTATTCTAGAGGTCCCAAGTTTGAGATCAGACTGCACATTTTCACCCTGTGATAGTCCAATATATCAGACATAACAGGCTTGTTATAGTTAATAATGAGTTAAGCCAAGAAGTAAAAATATCGATAAAAGCAACGTCATATTTGGGGAGTAGTGACCTAGTGAATACGGTGTCTGCCTCTCAACCCAGGGATCATGGGTTCAAGCCCTACTAGGGTCAACACCATGTTTCTTCATATGACACCTGATCATGAGTAATGGTTGGTTTCAGGAAGCTGACTTGAAAGTGATTAATATAAGTTGTAAGATTGTAGACTATTGACTGAGGACTAAAGGACTTTAACCTGGTGAACCACAACAGCTAAAACTTTAGACAAAGGGATGTTTTCAATTTTTTGATGTTACCAAGAATGTTACCCCATATCAGACAGCTTCATGTAACTTATAATATAGACTGCAAGACCAACCGACTTTACAAACCAATATTACACGGACGTTGGCCTTTACCATCATCTATATTATAAAAAACCCTAAAGTGCACAATTTGTTGGGCTAGCTACTTTGTTATCACCACGGATTTATATTACAAGGCCCTGGTCAATTAAAGCCCGTGATTATCACAGACACTTGGCGTATGAACCCCGCCCTTCTCCGCCCCTGAATATTAAAAACTAAAAGTATTGTTTATTACAAGAATTAGTTTTAAATTTGTGCTTATATTAGTATGAGACGGTTAAGTGTCTAACACATGAACAAGTTTGAATATAATTTCATAACGTTTTAAAAAAGTCAATTTTTTACCAACGCTTCAATAATTGAAAAATATAAGCAAATAATTAAACAATAACGGCAAATGCACCCCTCTATACTATAAATATTTGCTTATAGAATGTCAATCTCCTGTGGTTCTAGGCAATCATCCATCAGTTCATCATAAGATGATTTGCTGTGATGATAAAATTGGCAATGCGTTAGTTCTGTCTTCAAAAACTTTATAAACCTTTTTTAGTAATATTTTGTTCTTTTAATTTGATGAGTACACGCCTGTCACGGTATGAAAACGTTACCTTTGATAATGTTGACATTACTTTCAATGCGTACTTTTTGCCGAAGACAATTATACCCGTGCACCGTCTGTTCAATATTGTGCTTAATGACAATTTGACCTGTAAGAATTTTATTGTATTCATTTTATCCAGATTTTCTCTTAATAAACTTGTCATAAATTATTAGACTTAATTCATATATTAGAAATTTATTACAACTTTATATATTTCTTATTGGCAGTCCCTCTTCTGGACAAAATAAATTATTTAGTTTTATTTTACGTGTTTCGTACTCAAGAATATTCACACCAGCATAAAGGTGCCCGATTGAAGCAGTGTCTTTTGAAACATTTCTATTGAAGAAAATAACTTTCATTTCATTCATGTTATATGTCTTTACTTTAGAATATTACCTATTTCATGCTGTATAATATGTAAAGGGTATTACATGGGGCAAGTGTCCATATTGGCACACTTGGTGACTTATTTGCACGAGGGCAAATTTGAACCAAGTGTGCCAATATGGACTATAGACACACTTATCCCATGTAATGACTTGCTTATTGCATATATCCGCAGCAATTTTTAAGACTGGAATAGAATCAAGCAATAACGTAAATGTTCTCATAATTGTTATTTATTAATTGGCTGCATGTCCTTCACAGTTGTTTGAATCCATCAAGCGATTCGCTAAAGATTTCAACTTCCTCTCGATGCGATGCGGTTGTCAATTACGTAACATGTATTCCAGCGGACGTTCTGCCGTTACTGGACAACAGGTGCATGATAACCGGAAAGGGCGCCTCAATATGGGTTTTTGGCACACTTGGCAAGACTGCGCCAATATGGCTTATTGGCACGCTTACTCAAATACGGGATTTTCGCATGTCATATTCAGAAAAGCGAAACGCATTTTTATTTCTAGTAACATATGCAATAAGTGTTAATATAAAGTAATGCAGAGCAACAGCTAAGGTGCATATTTGCATATTTATGCAATTAATTTTACAAAATACGCAATTGTTTTTTATAATATGCATATCAACACCCATTTAAAAAAATAAGATATGCAAATGCCTTAAAGATCCATGCGTATTGTCATTTTTGGCAAGCAAAATTAACCGATCGTCCACTCGAAGTTTAGGACAATAGTTATATGCAAGCTATCCGAATTTTCCAAACTATAATTTAGGACTTACTAATCGATGGTCTCCGGTCTTCGACGGTCCTCGGTAGCCAAAAACTTCCAAGTCAAATCAATTATGCACGAGACAGTCAATTTATATAATACTCTACTCAGATTGACAATCCTTTAATGAATCGGTAGAGACCATTGTTTTTGCGGAGACTGGTTGCCAAAAGGTCCAATGCGAATAACCTGTATCATTAAAAAAGTAAAAAAAAAGAAATGAAAGGAAAACATATATAAAAAATTATTTTTTAAATAAACAGAATGTTGGAAATGTAAAGTGTTTCTTAAAATATAAAAGTAGTCTTGCTATAGGTTATGGTGATCCAATATTGCTCAGTTTGACTAACAGCCATATTGAACCGGCTATTTGTATTGGCAATGAAATGAAGGGGTAGGCTGTTCCAGTGGAAAACTGTTCTACAGTTCTATGGAAGAGATTGAGAATTTAATAGTTGTCTGTCTGGGCTGGGATTTACTATGCATGTGGGCACGTCGGGAGGTTCTCTTTTTGGCAATGACAACCTTCTATCAGGATTATGACTATATCATAAGTGATTTTGTATGTCAATGAAAGGCTTTAGTCAATATGACAGAGATCTAGTTAATGCCATTTATTAAGATAATTGTGTCCAAAGTGAGATTTAACCCAATGCTAGGATCCTCTTTGGACAGATTCTATCTGATCTGAATCTGAGTTTGACTATGGGGGGATGCATATTCTAGTTGTGGTCGAAGAAGTGTACTATTATATGCCATGGCCTTAAGGTTCTTTATATTACATTGTAAGAAGCCAAAGGTTTGGTTTGCCTTTTTGATTGACCTGTTTATTGTGGGAATTGATTACAGTTGAGTTCATAAAGATATATATGATAAATATTCTGTTGTTTAAATTATAAAAAAATGTGCAAAAATACTTCACTTATTATATAATATCATTACTGTTTTAAAACATTGGTTCTGTGGAAATAAAAGCAAGATTAGCACAAATTTTATCCATTGTAGGGTACGTAGCCATGGCATTTAGAACCTCACGTCTATTGACTGGATCACTGCAAAACCTGAACACTTTATGCAACACTGTGTCACACTCTTCAAATAGTATCAATAGACGTCTATCATATCTTGCCAACAGAGGAGCAAATATTTGTCTTGATACACATCCACATACTGGGATAAAGAACAAGGATGCAATAGTTGCTACACAGTGGTGTATTCAGATTAGACATAAAGGAAGAGACAAGCCTAAAAAAAGTGAGTTCATGATTCAGTTATACTTATAGACAATATTAGGGTATTAACCCTTAATCTGCTGGAACCAAAGTGATAAGACTTTGCCACAAGTATTGAGCCAGTCTGACCAGGCTCTATACTGTTGGCAGCTCACTTTTTGTATTTTTAATATTGAAATCCCTTGAACTTTGAATGGACTGTTTCAAATTCAAAGTTGAACTGTGATCCATTATAGAAATATAGCAGGTTATGGGTTCACATCAAACTCAGAACAATGCAGGGATATATTTGGTTAAGTAAACATACAGCATGAGATACCATAGAAGGCAAGTCTGACAATGAGTCGTGTATGATTTAGCAAGGAGTGTGCAAAAGTCTAAAACTATATTCTTCGTTGTAAAGACAAATATTTAATAACCTATTTATTCTATATCTGAATTATGTTGACTTAATGCAGAGTATGACTACTAGTAAATAATATACAGTCAAACTTGTCACATGTGACCTTCCATGGGACCATGATTGTAAAAAGGTCACATTTAGCTATGACAGGGAGTCTTTAAATCCAGGTCCACAAAATGTTTATTCAGCAGTTTCATACAGCTAAATGTACATTCTTGTATTTTTCTTAAATTGTCTTA